GACATAAAATAATCACAAAAATGATTTTTTGGAACATACATACAATGATACATACATGACCCCCAAACACAACAGGGGGGAAAAAAAGGATTCATACACCGCCTATCCCTTGACATATGACACATAACATGTCACCTATAGCATAAATGTTGATTCCAAAAGTAAGGTTGAAAATTAGAAAACTGCCAACATGTTTCACCTTTATATCTGGCTTCTTCAGGACTGTAACTTCTGTATATAAAATATAGAAAGAGCAAACAATGTACACACCATTATATGCAGTAAAGTAAAAAATACATATAATAAACAAAAACAATCATTGGGCTTACATAGGAACGCGGCAACCAACGATATATTGCCTGGGGGGGCAGACATAGGAAACTCGAGTTTGGAACACAGACAACAGACCAGGGAACTAGATAGTGCATAACTGAATCCTATAAAAAGAAGCACATAATGCCACCAGCAAATAGTATAGTTGTGTAAGTCTAAATATACTGATTGACGAATGCTTATACGCAATATATTATTATACAGGATTTATATAGCGCCAACAGTTTGCTCAGCGCTTTACAATATAACGGGAGACAATACAGCAACAATACAGTTCAATACAAGAGGGATAGGATGGACTAATACTCACAATGATCATAGATTATGCCCACATATAGCAAGAACAGTAAAGACTCAAAGCGTAGAAGCTGGAGGCAATTTGGAATAAGGATCAAAAGGTGTTGACAAGCCTAGGCTTGGTCTAGGTCTGGGGAGGCATATCCATGGAGGGACGCCCAGACCTCTATAGGCTAGACAATGGCACCCTGACTGCCATTAGATATCGGGATCAAATCCTTGGACCCATTGTCAGACCCTACGCTGGTGCAGTGGGTCCTGGGTTCCTCCTGGTGCACAGCAATGCCCAGCATCATGTGGCGAGAGTATGCAGGCAGTTCCTGGAGGATGAAGAAATTGATACCATTGAATGACCCCCACGCTCGCCTGACATAAATCCAATAGAACACCTCTGGGATATCTTTTTTTTCGTCCATCCGACGCCTGCAATGAAATTTCAGCAAAATGGAGTAGCCTGTCTCATCATTTTTTTTTCACTTTGATTTTTGGGGTGTCTTTGAATTTAGTCCTCTGTAGGTGGATAATTTTCATTTCCATCAAATGATGGGACATCCTTACGTTCCCAACACATTACCCAGTCCATATCCTTATAGATATCCAGCATGATATTTTTCCCCATTGAGATCTGATGTGTTTTCAAAGTGTTCCTTTCATTTTTGTGAGAGGTGTGTGTGTGTGGCCATGCGTGTATATATATTGTATGAAATGGGGCAAACTTGGTTTTTTCTGCCATCACTCTTTTATGTTTTCAAGTTTTTATTTAAGATTCTTGCCTCAGACATTACTGCAACATACCGCTGGATTCATTAGATGTGTAGGGGTTCCTGCTGTCTCTACCGTGCATCCTAAGTCTAATGAATCTAGCTGTGTTCCTCAATGAATGATGGGGAAAATGGAATTCTTGTTCTCCCTCCCTCATTGACCGCTTTACCTATTAGATGCAAGGTGACCACACAATCAGGCCTAATAAAACCCGGATTAGATGCAATCTATTCACTTTAGCCTATCTGCCTGCATCCTGCCCATGCTGCTTGGGTATACCTTTCAAATTTCTTAAAGCCATTCCGTTCCTTAGATTCCACTGTTTATTTCAGTCACTGATGTCACCTGCACATCAGCAATTTATCATACATTTCATGCCCCAATCTTCAGAGCGCCTTTCCATGGTGATCTAATTCCCTGTCTCTGGAATAGAAACGTGTTTTTCCATGTTTGCCGAAAGTTCTTAACTTTCTCACTGCGCCTTACTTATGGACTGCACACGCGTGAGATTTTAGGATGACATCTATGAAATGCGGAAGTAAACAGAAGGCATTTTCAAATACGGTGCCAGCTTCAGCAGAAGTGGGATGAGATGGCAGGTAGTAAAAAAAAGAAACAGAGAAGGTATTGATTTCTGTGTCTAATGCAGGCCATAGATGGGTCGAAAATCGGCCAAAAAAAAAAAATTGGCTGATTTTCGCACCGTTAATGGGTTAATTGGTCAGCCGTTTTTCGGGGTTTTAGCACTTTTTTTTTTTTATCGGTAAAGTTGGAAAAAATTTGGCCGATTTTCCCGGCAATGATGGGGAAATCAGCCGATCGTTTTACCAATAAAAAATCTGCGCATGATCCGTGACCTGCGAGAAGAAGAAACAGAAGAGGAAGAAGAAGAAGAATTCCAGTCCGCTATTATATGTGACATGAAAAAGTATTGAGGTTGCAACAATGTATCTACTTGTATCTGAATAAAACCATCTGTATCCGAAATGGATACAAATGGATACATTGTTGCAACCGCAATACTTTTTCATGTCAAATATAATAGCAGGGCGCTCTGCAGGGACAGAAGTAATTAAATGCCGGCCGTAGGCGGGACGAAAATCGGCTGATTTTTTTTTTTTACCCTAGGTGGTAAGGTCGGCCTATTGAACAATCGATTTTTTTTTTTGTGTTTTTTTTTTTTTGTTTGTTTTTTAAACAGCCAGTTTTCGACCCGTCTATGGCCTGCATAAGTAAAGGGGTTTCTTGACTCTCCAACACTCCCAATGCCAGTGATTGCCCGCTGCTCTTTCCTTTGTCACAGCTAGCACTGATGTCCTTCGTGTCAGAGGCTAGGGCAGCAGAGATGTTACCAATCTGTCAGCATGTTGACAGCTAAACCCTAGCTCTGTCACATGAAGAGATCACATGCTCTCTCATATGTAGAAACAACAGGTTTTTGTCACCAGCTGAAGCAAAGGAAGGAGCAGTGGTAAAGGGCTGGTGAGTTATTAGGGGGTTAGGGTTTGGTACAGATCACCTTGCCTCTTAAGTTGATAAGTGCTCTTTCAAACAAAGCGCCCTGGTCCCTGCACATGAGTGCCATCCGTTCAGTTACATCTTTTGCAAAGAAAAACTGATGAATACTGATTCAGGTTACATCAGTTTGCGCATCCGTCTTTAGTTCAGTATACATGAGTTTGCAGTGTGGTTCTGTTTAGTTCAGTTTACATCGGTTTTTCGCATCCTCCTTTTTTTTTTTTTTTTTTTTTTTTTTTAAGTTTTAAACTAATAGCGGTGCCATAGGTGACAAAAGTATCAACAAAAAAACCGTTTATAGTCTTCAAAGGGATGACATCCATTTACATCCATTCAGACATCTAAATGGAAAACGATGCAGTCTTGTTCCATTTAAAAAAAAACTGATTTGAACAGACACAGATGTAGGCCAATGTAAACAGATGATCATCCATTTACATTCGTTAACTCATAGGAATGAATTGCTGTACTGTTCCATCCAAAAGCAGACGAAGGGAAAACTTCTGTGAAAGGGCACTTATTTTCTTTGCTCCTGTGCCTTGACCAACTTTGCCTACCTTCCACCTTTACATGCACACACTTACCTGCATCTGTTGTTCACGGCCTTTTGTTTGATTACATTCCGGCTGCACCTGTGCATTACAGCACCATAGATTTTATAAGGCTGTATTTCCCACCATCTACGGCCTCGGGTCACAACCCCATAGAAGCCCATAGGGGTGTGTTGTGTGCACATGGCCAGGATAGTGAGTTGTGTGGTGCTGGATGTAAGCTATCATGGGAGGCCACAGCCACTGGATTGAGGTAAGTATGCATTTGTGGAGGGTAGGATGGCTTAGTTCAGGTCAGGGTAATGAGGGGAAGAAAAAAGTAAAAGTGCACTTATTCTTTAACTACCTCAATACCGGTCACTTTTATCCCCTTCCTGCCCAGATCAATCCCCAATTTTCAGCTTTCAGCTCTGTTGCACTTTGACAGTTGCGCAGTCATGCAACACTGTACCCATATGAAATTTTTATAATTTTTTTTCACATAAATAGAGATTTATTTTGGTGTTATTTAATCACTGTCCCACTGGGGTGTTTTTTTTGTTTTTTTTTTTGTTTTTGCGCTATAAATGAAAAAAAAAGACTGAAAATTTGGGGAAACAAACACATTTTTCTTCTTTTCTGTTCGAAAAATTTTGCAATTAAATCTTTCCTAAAAAACTTAGGCCAAAATGTATTCTGCTACATTTCTCTTGTGAAAATAACCCAAATCAATGTTCATTATTTTGTAGGTAGGAAAGTTATAGCGTCCACAAATTATTTTGTATCTCTGAAAATCAATCCTGATGTAGTGATGGCCTGGTCATCTCATTTCTTGAGGCCCAAAAAGGCCAGGACAGTACCAATAGCCCCAAAATGACTGCTTTTTGGAAAGTAGACAGTCTGAGGTATTTGTAAGACGCATGGTGAGTTTTTTTTTTTAAGTTGCCTTTTTTTCTTTGTCATTTTTGTGGAAAACTAAGAAATGAAAAAAATTCACAATTTTTTTTTTTTTTTTATTATTATATACTGTCACCAGTACAGTATACCGTATTTTTTGCTCCATAAGACGCACTTTTTTCCCCCAAAAAAAGGGGGGGGAAAATGTCAGTGCGTCTTATGGAGCGAATATAGAGCGGCCGGTCCGGTATTTTCACCGCCGCCGTGTCAGAATACCGGGCCGGCCGCTCAGCTCTGCAGTGGGACCTTACCTGTTCCTCTATCCAGCGCCGCACTGTCTTCCCGGCTTCTGTAGTGTGCGTGACAGCCGGGTCCCAAGTGCGCATGCACAAGAAGCGGTGCTCTTTGTGAATGGTAAGGTGGTACCTGGGACACATGACAGATCCCAGAAGCCGCCGGACCAATCACAAAGCGCAGCGCTTCTCGCTCATGCGCACTGGGCACCTGGCTGTCCGCCGAGCGCCCACACTACAGAAGCCGGGAAGACAGCGCGCGGCTGGATAAAGGAACAGGTAAGATCAAAGAAAAACTCTGCGGAAGTAAGAGCGGGTACCTGTCAAATTCAGGTACCCGCTCCCCCCCCCCCTCCCCAAAGGTCAGCAGTCATCTCCTGTACTGTCCGCAGTCTCTGGTCATCTCCTGTACTGTCCGCAGTCTCTGGTCATCCCTGTACTGTCCGCAGTCTCTGGTCATCCCCATTGTACTGTCTGCAGTCTCTGGTCATCCCTGTACTGTCTGCAGTCTCTGGTCATCCCTGTACTGTCTGCAGTCTCTGGTCATCCTGACATACTGTCTGCAGTCTGTACTGTCTGCAGTCTCTGGTCATCCCTGTACTGTCTGCAGTCTCTGGTCATCCCTGTACTGTCTGCAGTCTCTGGTCATCCCTGTACTGTCTGCAGTCTCTGGTCATCCCTGTACTGTCTGCAGTCTCTGGTCATCCCTGTACTGTCTGCAGTCTCTGGTCATCCCTGTACTGTCTGCAGTCTCTGGTCATCCCTGTACTGTCTGCAGTCTTGGTCATCCCTGTACTGTCTGCAGTCTCTGGTCATCCCTGTACTGTCTGCAGTCTCTGGTCATCCCTGTACTGTCTGCAGTCTCTGGTCATCCCTGTACTGTCTGCAGTCTCTGGTCATCCCTGTACTGTCTGCAGTCTCTGGTCATCCCTGTACTGTCTGCAGTCTCTGGTCATCCCTGTACTGTCTGCAGTCTCTGGTCATCCCTGTACTGTCTGCAGTCTCTGGTCATCCCTGTACTGTCTGCAGTCTCTGGTCATCTCTGGTCATCCCTGTACTGTCTGCAGTCTCTGGTCATCCCTGTACTGTCCTGCAGTCTCTGGTCATCCCTGTACTGTCTGCAGTCTCTGGTCATCCCTGTACTGTCCGCAGTCTCTGGTCATCATTGTACTGTAGTCTCTGGTCATCCCTGTACTGTCCGCAGTCTCTGGTCATCCCTGTACTGTCCGCAGTCTCTGGTCATCCCTGTACTGTCCGCAGTCTCTGGTCATCCCTGTACTGTCCGCAGTCTCTGGTCATCCCTGTACTGTCCGCAGTCTCTGGTCATCCCTGTACTGTCCAAAATCACTGGTCATCCCTGTACTGTCCATAGTCACTGGTCATCCCTGTACTGTGTCTGCAGTCTCTGGTCATCCCTGTACTGTGTCTGCAGTCTCTGGTCATCTCCTCTACTATGTCTGCAGTCCATTAGTTCAGAATTTTTTTTTCCTGTTTTCTGCCTCTAAAACCTAGGTGCGTCTTATGGTCAGGTGCGTCTTATGGAGCGAAAAATACGGTAGCCTTATTTAACTGTTGTGGCGGTGATCAGTTTTATTTTTCAATGTGTAGGTTTTTCTTTTTTTATATGATTTTTTTTTTTATTCCTGTGACCAGAGCAAAACCGTGTTACCATAGTAACATTGTACTACACTGGGCAAGTGATCAGGATTTTTTTTATATTTTTTTTGCACATTATGATTGCTTATACCAGTGAATTTCACTGGTATAAACAACCATTGTTACTGAATGAAATTGATTCATTCAGTAGTTATTGTTGTGATTGGCCAGATGGGCTGTGATTGGCCCTGTCTGTACTATGTTATCACTGTGAGCAATCACAGCTAGCAACACAATTGTAAGCAATGAATGGCATGGCATGAAAGGAAGCCTTTCATCCTTTACAACTGTCATGCGATCTGCTGTAACTGGTCGCAGCGATCACATGGTGCAGGCAGCAGATCCACTGGCAGATCGCTGGAGCATGGCCTGATACTGGATAGATGTAGTATAATGTCCTTCCAGGATAATAGGGATCCCACCTGGCCATCCTATCACAATAGGGCGATCCACCGCGGGAGGCGTTTAAAGCCCCATTACAGACAAAAACTCCCTTCTATCCCCCCTTACTATCCTGTCAGATGTTTTTGTTTCCTTTGAAAGGCTGGCCAGAACCAGTTCTAGAGGGAGTCTATTCCACATTTTTTACAGCTCTTACTGTAAAGAAGCCTTTCTGTATTTGGAGATTAAATATCCTTTCCACCAGATGTAAAAAGTACCCCCTTGTCCTCTGTGATGACCTTAAAGTGGAACTCCACACAAAAGGGCAACATTCACTTTAAGTTCTCCTCCCCTGCCATATTTGGTATGTCATATTTGGGGGGAGGATTGGGTACCTAGTTTTGACAGGTACCTGCTCCCACTCCCGCTTGGATCACCTGCACGTCACAGGTCCCTGAAGACTGTGGGACCATTCACAAAGCTCAGCTTTGAAGTAAAAAACCAGCCGGCTGTCCAAACTTAGGATGCTGGTGCTGAGAACCTTAATGCTAGTGAATTAGCCTGGGTGAGGACAGTGCTGGATACCTGGACAGGTAAGTGTCCTTATATTAAAAGTCAGCAGCTACAGGATTTGTAGCTGCTGACTTTTTTTTTTTTTTTTCCCCAGAGTTAACCTCCTCTTTAAAGTGTATAACGCTACACCAAGTTCAATATATGGACCACCTATGTATTTATACATGTTGATCATATCCCCCTAAGGCCTCTTTCACACGGGCAGTTGTTCTGCTGCCCGTAAATGCATATTTTGTTTATTTTGGAAATCCAACACTCCTTGCACAGAGATCACCTGTGTTTGTACACCTTTTTTATGTATGTTTACATGCGGCTGCATTATTAAATTCTTGGCTTTTCTAATGCAACTGTTTACTTATGTTTCCTTTGTACTGCGATTAACTGTGTTTATGTACAGATAGCTGCGGTACATCGCTCCTGGACGCCGTCAACTTTATTTTTCCTAAGCGCCTAAAACCGTATGTTATGAAAAAGTTCCTAAACGCAGTTTGTAAATGGAGCTATAGGGATGCATTGTCTGAAATTAACTGCAGTAAATGAGTTCCTCTAACCGCAGCTAAAAGCTGAACTCTAACCTCCTATGTGAAAGGATCATTAATCTCCCCTTCTGGAGAAAATAAATTCACACTAATCTTTCCTCATAGCTGAGCTCCTCAATGCCTCGTATCAGCTTGGTTGCACTTGTCTGCACTTTCTCCAGTTCTCCAATATCTTTTTATGAATTGGTGCCCAAAACTGAACTGCATATTCTGGATGAGGTGTTATTAGTGATTTTTATTTGTACAGAGATAAAATGATCTCTCTCTTTCTGCAGTCCATACCTCTTTTAATACAAGAAAAGACTTATCTCGCTCTGGAAACTTCAACTTGGGAGTGCATGCTATTAAAGTGATATTAAAGGCAGATTTTCTTTGTTTAAAAATAACAAATATGTCATACTTACCTGGTCTGGGAATGGTTTTGCACAGAGCAGCCCTGGTCCTCCTCTTCCCACTGATGCTTCTGGCCCCTCCCTCCTGCCAAGTGTCCCCATAGCAAGTGATTTGCTATTGGGGCACCCAAGAAAACACGCTTCTGAGCCATTGCTCTGTGTGTCTATTTACACACACAGCACAGCTCTTCCCTGCTCTCTCCTCATTGGCTCACTGGCTATGATTTACAGTAGCGGGAGCCAATGGCTACTATGGTGAAGAGGAGGAGACCCGGAAGAGCCGAGGCTCTCATGCACATTGCTGGATAGAGATAGTGCTCAGGTAAGTTTGGGGGGGGGGGGGGGGCTGGGGGTGTTGTGCACACAGAACGTTTTTTACCTTCATGCATAGAATGCATGAAGGTAAAAATCCTTCAGCCTTTACAACCTCTTTAAGCCTATGATCTACCAGAACACCCAGCAGATCCTTCTCCTCCTTCCCCAGTTGTACTCCCCACACCCCAGCCCCCCCCCCCCCCCCCCCCCCCCCTTTGTATGTATAATGCATACATGCTTTTAGCCCCCAAGTGCTTAACTTTATATTTATCCACATTAAACCTCACCTGCCACAGTCCCCCCTAGTAAACTCTGCCTTGATTGCACTGTTGATTCTGTCAGAATAAGCCTGCAACTTCCTATGCTGTAAGCCTGTACCTCTTAACTTCTGTGGACTAGAGAACACTCAACTCCCCCCCATGTTATGTACATGAAAAAAAGGGGCAGTGTTAAAGTGCAACTCTGGGCACAAATGGTCCCCTCTCTCACACTGCAAGCGTTCATTTCTCATTTGGTTTAAAGCCTGATACACATTATGAGAATATTGGACAAATTATCATTTGTTTTCTTTGGGGTTTTTTTTTTTTTTTTTTTTTTTTTTGCATGCTAGTGTCATATCGAAAACAAGTAGCTTACTAGAGTAACGGAAATTCTCGTAAGACAGAATACAACTTCCTGCGATGATGTAATGTATTGTATCGTAACGTATTCTTTCTTTTCCGAACATGCACAGTGTTGATTTTTTTCTTTATGGACAAATATTGTACCGATTAAACAAAAACATTCGTTCTGTTATCTTACAAGAAACATTTTCAAACATTTTCTTGTCCCTTTGGATAATATTGCGTGAACTGTCATGCTCAACTCTGGAAAGCTGTATAATATTAGACGAACACTCCGAAAGCGGTTTTTGGGGGGCCAAAATTCTTATCATGTGTACTAGGCTTAAGGCTATGTTGGGGGCACAGGAATCACACCTGTTCCTGCAACCACCCACAGCCCAATCGAATTGCTCTTGCGAGGTGGCACGCCCACGCATCCCAGCCTGCAGTGTGTTTGTGGATGTGGGAACCACAGGGAAAACACATGATCAAAAAGGCCTTGTGGTTTCCCTACGGCCATGTTTTTAAAAAGGTGTATGCACCTTTTTCCTGCAGGAAATGCGGCAAAGCAGTCTATTCAAATAAATGGGCTGCCACACCCGAGCAAACGCAGGTCACTTGGCCTGCAATAATGTGAACTGAACCTGAAAATGCTGTCATAGAGTAATACTTTACTACTTTCTCCTGTGGTCTCCATCCATCTGTGTGGCCAATCTTGCCAATCCTCCAATCCTCCTCTGTAAGGCTAGGATCTGCACAGAGGAATGCGGACCCGCGGGTGGGTATCATTAGTGCTAATGGCATGCCGCCCGCACTGGAAAACGCAACCATACTGGGAAGCGAGGTTCCTGTGGGCTGCGTTGTCAAAAGAAGTGCAGGGACTTTTTCCCTGCATGTCACGGGGCACGGGAGCCCATTCAAATGATTGGGCTCTCGTGCCCGTCACAAAAATGCGGCCGCAGCTATGTGAACCAGGGATAAAGCAGTCACGTTCCTTCTTCCACCGCATACAATGTTATGTTAATAGTCCTGCATTGTACATCATGGCACAGAGGAATTGCCCAGAGCATTAGAGAAAAAAGGACAACCCAGGAGCAGTGGTTAAAGCGGAGTTCCACCCAAAAGTGAAAGCTCTGCTTCTCTGTTACCAACTGCCCGACCACCCCTTTCCCTACCCTGGGGCTGGAACTCCGCTTTAAGGTAAGTAGGACATCCTCTTAGGCCCAAGCCTCAACCCCCCCCCCTTCCCTACGCCCAACATCTTAAAAAATAAATAAATCTTCGTGTTTTTTTTCCCCTCCATCTCAGAGTTGGTATTTTAAATAAAAAAATGCTGTTCTAGAGAGACAACGCTGTTCAGAATGATACAGTACATTGGTCCCTTTCATCCTAGGACAGAAAGTTTTTCTGTCCTAGGATGATCATTAGATAAAAATAACAGAATAAAACCTGAAAAAATAAAACTAATGTAGTCGTCTAATTTAAGGATTGTTAATCTACAATACATTTCATTTTTTTCTCTTTAGATGTATTTTAATTTTTTTTATACTGCTGTATGTTATTGTATAGTGTCAACGCCAGTTGGAAAACACTGACTTGCAACCAACACCGCAAAGCTTTTTTTTTTTTTTTTTTTTTTTTTTTTAATCTCCCTCTTCATCTCTTACTAATATTATTACGACATTCACAATCTTCAATAAGTGTGAATACAGAATGAATGATGTTGCAAATGAATCATCAATATAAAAATTATACTTTTTTTTCTGCTTACTTATTAAATTATTTGTATAAACAATCATTCTGTTAAGAGTGATACTTCCCTTGACGAGTTTCGTCACATCTGGGACTTAAGCATAAGGGGTGTAAGTCCCGGATGTGACGAAACGTGTCAAGGGAAGTGACGTCGGACGCACAGGAAAGGAACCGTAAGTGGCGTGTCGGCCATTTTTGAAGTTGGAAAAACCACATGGCAAGTTGAGAGCTAGCTGCTCGGCAACCCTGAGTGGTTTTGGGCATGGAAATATGCGTTTTTAACCTTTTAATGTAAGCAGTTATAATAAAATCATAATCTTATAAAAATCAGAATTACACTATATATTCTATCCATACATCTGTTACATGAGCACCCTGGAGTCTTGGGAATGTCCGTTTAAACCATGAGGATGTTCAGGAGGATATGGTGGATGACATCCTAAGAGGTATACTTCAGGAGTGGAGGAAAGGAGTGGAAGTATGCTGATGATTCCTACTATATGAATAAGGCGTTTTTACTTTTTTGTTCTGGTAAGAGTATATATGCTTTTTCACTATAGAAGTATACACTGTTGTGATCACTTGTTTTTTTTGCTGTACTCAGAGTGACGCACTACTATTCACGTTGCACAGTGTTCACTATTTTTGCACTACTTTGAATTTTTGCATATTTTTTGGGGGGAAGGAATAATATTTTTGTGATTTATTGATTAAGGTAATACACCATGTAGTGTTTTTCATTCTTTTGAGGTATTTTCTGTCCTCTAAGACCAGTGGAAGGGCTCAGCACTAAAGAATGTGACAAGCTTGATTTTGGACACTTATTTTGTTGCAGTGACTTCATTTATATTTTTTTTGAGTGACTTTACATGATTTATTTTTAATTTTGTCATTGGACTGTTTGTTTTGGGATTTATAGTTTTGAGTTTAGCACTTAGTGTGGAGTATATGGACATATTAGATCTTTGGTTTAATGATTTGCACTTTCTGCTTCATTATTTCTATTAAGAAAGTTTTTTGTTTTTAAGAATACAACAAGCTCAAAATACGCCCACGCAGGGGCAGAACAGAACAATAACATAAACAGAGACATTCTGCTGACTTGTATTAGTCAAATAACGAAATGTCCAATGACATCAAGGAGGGACGGCAAAAAGCTGAACCAAATGGCAATGATTTGTACTTTCAAGGGTGAAAGTATTTGTTTTAGTATGTGAAAGGATATTTGGGTTAGTTTAGTGGTAGGTGATACCGTACTTATATTTATATTTAAAGAAGCCTGCTGGCTCTTCCTAAATTCGGAGCAAAGACCAGTATACAGACCCAGTGATGATATCACTGGGCCTCAAAATAGGTATTTCTTGAAAACAAAATGATTTGATTTGACATTTTTTAATACATATTGGTTGGGAAGTTTCAGGGGGAAAGGGAAATCAATATATGCATACATTACACTTTCAACATTGGATTGTTTGCCTGAATTAATCTTTGTTTATCTTTCAGCTGGCCCAGGACTCATGAACACTCGTAAACGCCACGGCTCCCGTAACACTGATAACGGAGTTTACGTAGGACCCCCACAGACCCAAGTCCTGCCCTCCACTACGACTGAAGTTTTCTCTCCTCCTGTACTTCCTCCTCCAGCTGACGTGATGTCCTGCCGGGACCGCACTGCCGAGTTCATATCTGCTTGCAAGTCTCTACGTGGACGCCAGGTTAGCATGATAAAGTGTGAAAAACACAGGGAAACTTTTTTTGTTTCCCATAAAACATTATATTGTTCTATAAGGGATACAGGAATGTAGAAATAGTCAGGGTTATATAGGTTTGGGCAAAGCCCCTAGCCCCTGCGTAACCCTGCCCCAAGCAGGTTGGACACCTTTTTCCTCAGCTTTACTGAGAAACTCTTAACTATATTTTTGCTAGCTTTTATTTTTTTTCTTCAGTAAGGATACTTGGTACCCAATACATACTTTTCCTTTGCTGACTTCAGTATGCTTTTGGAACTAGCAGTAGCTTTGTAGGCCGTACCCAGACCCCACTGAACTGAAGGATTGCAGGGCTATCCTGGAATTTGACCTTCAGCCACTGGGCTCTGCTGGTGGGGTTTTCAGACCTTTGTCTATTGTGTTCGTTACATGCAGAGCACTTTTCAGGTCCAGAGTTGTGACACATCCCCAGGTGTGACCCAGTCTTGGAAGACTCGCAGTCAGTATGCCTCTGGATTTAGGCTAGCCAAGAATGTGACCTCCGGCTCCTAAATGCTGCATGGTGGTGCTTTCTAGACCTTTGTGCATGGTGGTAATCAGTTGCAGAGTGCTTTTTGGGTTCAGAGCCAGGGTATTGGTTTCTGGTTTGACCCCATCTTTTAAGGCTCACTTAGTGAACAAGACTGATTGGGCTGCAGCAGTGGGAGCTATACAAAAGGCAAGAAAACATCCGATGGCCACACATCCAATTAAAATCACCTTTATTACAAAATTCTTTGCATAAACCACTCCCAAAAAATGTGGGGAACACAGTACTCTAGCTAGCGCGAGCTATGACTAAGCACTGATGGAGCGTGAAACCCGTTAACTGGAGTACTGTGTTCCCCACTTTTTTGGAAGTGGTTTATGCATAGAATTTTGTAATAAAGGTGATTTTATTGAATGTGCGGCCATCGGATGTTTTTTTGCCTTATGAAGTCTGCTGCGGACTGTGTGAGGGGTAGTGGAAGAGGGGACCGACCTGGAGCGGTGGTGTTTTTTTGCTTTTTTTCAGTGGGAGCTATACAGTTTGAACTGTTGGGCACCATGTTCAAATGTCCTGCAGCTTTTGCCACAGTAAGGATTAAGCGGTCAAGTGCTGACGTCATCCACTGGGAGTAGTGCTGCATGCATGCTCTGCGTTCTCTTTTCCACCATTTACCATCACGCTGTAGTTCCTGCTCTTGGAGACAAGCGGACTCATTCATACCCCAAGTTTGTGAAGGAGAGATTGCCATAGTTCCTGGATGGTTGATTCCCAGAGGGGAAAAAGTGCATATTGGAGTGGAGCACCGAAGATTAGGTGTGGACTATATTGCACTTTACGTGCACAAGGCACTTTTGCTTCTAAAGGACATACAGACAAGCACTTTAATGCATGGAATTTGTCACATAATGTATTACACTATATGTAGTTGTATTATGAGTGATATATAATGGACATTGCACTTTAACCACTTCAATACCGGGCACTTATACCCCTTTCCTGCCCAGGCCATTTTTCAGCTTTCAGCGCTGTCGCACTTTGAATGACAATTGAGTGGTCATGCAACCCATATGAAAAATTTATTTTTTTCACACATATAGAGCTTTCTTTTGGTGGTATTTAATCACCACTGAGTTTTTTTTATTTTTGACAGGAAGTCATCCATTGTATACAATTTACATGTGATCTGCTGTGATTGGTCACATATGAAACAATTTATTTTTTTCGACAGCATATAGAGCTTCCTTTTGGTGGTCAAATGATCACATGACACTGGCAATGGGCCAGTGTAGTGATATGTCATCAGCTGTGTCCCGTGGACACAGCTGGTGACAGATTGTGCCGTTGCGTGGCTTGTTTTGACAAGACGTCACAACGTCCCAGTCACAACGGCGAGTGTCCCGCCTGGCTGTCAATCTGCTATGGGCCGAGTGGGAAGGTGTTAATGCTTAAAGAGCACCGTGTACTGTTATTGGATTGTTACTGTACTGTTATAGATTATTGGAACACTTATTGTGTTATACGCGGCAGAAGAGTGATTTTTCGTAATTCCTTTTCTTTTAGAGCGGGTGATTTTGTTATAAATACAAGTGTGGTGGGGATGATTATCTTTCTACTCCTGAGTATTTTGATGTGTGTAGGGGTACTTTTTTTCTCCTTTTTGTTTGTTAGCCTCTGACTTAAGGTGCTGCCGTTGAAGTTCTCTGTAATTAGGTCTTTGAATATCCACCTTTGGGGTATTATGCTAGATAGACATCTATTCCCATAAGAGATTGAGTAGCCGTCTTAGTCATCCCTATTTCATCTTAGAGCCTTTCTTCTTTGATGCCCGGGGTCTGTAGTTTAAAGCCGGCCATAGACTGATCCACTCTGAACCGGCCGAGATTTGATCCATCAATGGACAGGCTCGTTGTATTGAACTCGATCCATCAATTTGAGTTCAGTACAACCAGCCTTTTGGATTTTTTACTTGAAATTACTGCTCGCAGATGTCCCAAAAGAATTTCTACATTTCTGTGTCCCTCCATGAAAGATAAAGAAAATAGATTTTTGTACTTGCTGTAAAATCCATTTCTTAAAATCCATTGAGGGACACAGGTCCTACACCTTTGTGTTTATTGACCCTATGTATTACTTGTTCACAAAACTGACATATGAGAGATAAGCGTAGGGTTATATGGAGGCTGGCTGTCAATATTTTTTTTTTCCATCTGCTAGTGTTCAAACCTCCTGTAGGCAGCAGCATATACCCCATATGTTTATGATTTTCTACATTCCTATGTCCCTCAATGTACTTCAAGAAAAAAAATTACAGGACGTACAAAAATAGTATTTTTCAAAATCTTTATCAATAGCTTTGTTTCCTGTATGCACTTCTGTTTGTTCATATAGGGTTATTTTTTTCCATATTTTGAGTCAGGGGTATCCTACAGGCATCCTGCACTTCTACTGTTCAGTGACCGTCTTCTTCTCAAAAAGTTTGCTCAGCGCTGTACAATATAGTGGGGGACAGTACATGAGACAATACAGTAACAAAACAATATACGAAAGGTTCGAGGGCCCTGCTCTTTTGAGCTTACAATCTAGGAGGGAGGGGATAGTGGTACAGGAGGAAGTGGCTTTGGGGGATGGAGTGGTAGGAGGAGTGGAGGAGATCGGCTGTTTTGTGAGGGTGGGGTAGGCTTTCCTGAAGAGATGGTTTTCAGGGTGCGCCTAAAGGTGAGGAGGGTAGGTGACAGTCTGATGGATTGGGGTAGTGAGCTCCCATCCTCTGGAAAAGTCCTGCAGTCGGGTGTGGGAGGAGGAGACCAGGGAGCTAGAAAGTAGGAGGTCTTGTGAGGAGCGAAGAGTACAGGTTGGGTGGTATTTGGGTATCAGGTCGGTGAGGTAGTTTGGGGCAGTGTTATGAATGGCTTTGTACGTCAATGTTAGTAGTTTGAATTTAATGCGTTGGGCGATCGGAAGCCAATGGAGGGAATGACAGAGGGGGGTGGCAGATGCGGAGCGGTTGGTAAGGTGGATGAGTCTGGCCGCTGAGTTCAGGATAGACTGAAGCGGGGATAGTCTGTGATGAGGTAGGCCGGTGAGGAGGGAGTTGCAGTAGTAGTCATGAGATAATAAGGGAGTGAATGAGTTGTTTAGTAGTGTATGGGGTTAGGAACGTACGTATTTTGGAGATGTTGCGAAGGTGGATTTTGCATGAGTTAGCCAGCGATTGGACATGGGGTTGGAAGGACAGATTTGAGTCTAGAGTGACACCTAGAATTTTGGCTTGTGGGGTGGGACTGATGGTGGCGTTGTTGGTCGTGATGCAGAGGGTGGGGGGGGGACGCAGGCTGGGGGGAAAATTAGGAGCTCTGTTTTGGAAAGGTTTAATTTGAGGAAGTGGAGTGACATCCAGTCTGATATGTCATTGAGTAGGCAGGTGATTTGGGCGGAGACTGAAGGGGTGAAGCGAGGGGTAGAGAGGTAGATTTGCGTGTCATCGGCGTAGAGTTGGTAGTTGAAGCCGTGGGAGTGTATCAGTTGGCCAAAGGAGGAGGTGTAGATGGAGAAGAGAAGGGGCCCAAGGACAGAGCCTTGGGGGACCCCAACAGAGAGGGGGAGGTGGCAGCGTTATAGGTGACGCTGAAGGAGCGTTGGGATAGATAGGAGAGAGCGGAGTCTCTGATGCGAAGGGAGTATAGTTTGAGGAGGGGGTGGTCAACTGTGTCGAAGGACGCGGAGAGGTCGAGGAGTAGGAGGACTGAGTAGTGGCCATTAGCTTTAGAGTTAGCAGGTCATTAGTGATTTTGAGTAGGGCGGTTTCGGTGGAGTATAGGGGACAGAAGCCAGACTGTAGTGGATCGAGGAGGTTGTTGTCATTGAGGTGGGAGTTTAGGCGATTGTAGACTAAGCGCTCAAGGAGTTTGGATGAGAATGGCAGCAGGGAGATGGGTCTAAGGTTGCTCAGGTCGGTGGGGTCCAGGGAGGGTTTTTTGAGTATGGGAGTGATGTGAGTGTGCTTTAGGGGGGAGGGGAATGCGCCAGTAGAGAGGGAGAGATTGAAGATGTGGGTGAGGGAGCGTAGGATGGAGGAGGAGGGAGACCGAAGGAGGTGTGGGGACAGGGTCAAGGGGGCAAGTGGTGAGACGAGCTTATGAGAAGACCTTAGTGATCTCTTAAGTGGTAGCAAGGCAGAAGGAGTGGAGTGTTGGGGAGGCTTTAGTGTGCGGGATGTTAGGTGTGATGGGGGTCAGGGCGGTTTGCGAGGTCAGAGGCGAGAGTTGAGGGGGTTATCGTGAGAGGGAGGCTAGGTGGGGAGGTAGATTGAGCATTGCCGATGTCTTTACGGATTGTATTGATCTTGTTTTGGAAGTGGTTGGCAATCTCGTGGGCGGTGAGTGTGGTGCTGGGTGGAGGTGGGGAGAGCGTAGGGAGTTGAAAGTGAAGAGCCGGCGAGGACAGGTGGAGAGGGTATTGATGAGGGTTACAAAGTAGGCTTGTTTGGCGGCATGGAGGGAGGAGGTGTAGGTGAGGAAGGCGGATTTGTAAAGGGTGAGCGCTTGAGGGAATCTGGTTTTGCGCCATAATCACTCCAGCGCGTGACTGCGTCGCTTAAGATTTTTGGTGTGGTTGTTCTGCCAGGGTTGAAGCGGTCGGGGTCTAATGCTGCGTGTGGCTAGGGGTGCTAGGGGAAGCTGACAGCGAGTTGTTATACGCAGTAGTGGCCAGGTCAGGACAGTGGCAGGATACTGTCGTAAAGACGGTCAGCTGCAGAGTGGAGAGGGGCCGGGTTCAGGTTGCGGAGGTTACTGCTGGTGATGGTTTGACGTTTGGGGGGGGGGGTTTGAGGACAGTTTGAGGACAGGGAGAACGTAATGAGGTTTTGGTCAGAGGGAAAGAGGTGTCCTGTGAGGTTGTGGGGGGTGCAGAGATGAGAGAAAACGAGGTCCAGGGTGTTCCCGTCGGAGTGGGTGGAGGACTGTGTGCACTGTGTGAGTGCAAAAGAAGAGGTTAAGTGGACGAGTTGGGATGTAGCCGGGTTGTTGACGTTGATAGGGATTTTTGAGTCGCCAAGGATGATGGTGGGTAGCTTAGAGGAGAGGAAGAAGGGAAGCCGGGCAGAAAAATCGTAACATGTTTGGGATGGGCAAATGAAGGTCTACTGGATGTGGCCACATAGTTCAGTCATTTGACAATAATGAATACATAGAAATACATTTAGGTAGATCAGTAGCCGCCTGATAATGTCATTTTCACTCCAATGATCTGATTTTATGCTTTGCAGAATGGTGTTCAGCTGTCCAACCCTTCTCTCAATGCTGTGAAACAGAGAAGTGAATTTACTCTAATGGCCAAGTAAGAAACCTAGCATTCTCTATTTTATCCTTCTCTGTTCATTAATCCTTTTATGTTACTGATTTTATCTATGTTGTGTAATTGATAAATTGCTCATTTAAAATAACAAAGATTTTTTTTTTATAAGATAACAAATCTGTCATACTTACCTGCTCTGTGCAGTGGTTTTGAACAAAGCAACCCCGATCCTCCTCTTCTTGGGTCCCCCTCCAATGCTCCTGACCCTTCCCTCTTTCCACATGCCCCCAGAGCAAGCAGCTTGCAATGGGGGCATCCAAGCAGGCTAGCTCCCAAGCCGCTGATTTGTGTATCTATTCACACAGAGCCGCGGCTCGGCCCCGCCCCCCCTCTCTCTAAATATTCTCTTTCTAAACTTCCACGATGTGGAACTCCATCTTATTCTTGCGATAAAATTAGACTGTTTACTTTTATTAAAGGCAAATATCCACTGGTAATCCTTTTTAAAGTGGTTGTAAAAATAACTTCTTTGTGCACCAGCCCCCCTAATACATACCTGAGCCCCATCACGAGACAGCCAATGAGGTGGGAGAGTCCCTTCAGAGCTGAGGCTCTCTTGCACATCACTGGATCGCAATGGGGTTCAGGTAAGTATTAGGGAGGGCTGAAGGGCTGCCTGCATACAGGGTTTTGTTTTTGTTTTTTGTTTTTTTTCACCTTCATGCTTAGAATGCATGAAGGTAAAAGACCTTCAACCTTTACAACCACTTTAAAAGCACCACAAGTGGGTATTTGCCTTTTGATAACAGTAAACAGTCTAAGTTTATTGCAAGAATAAAATGGAGTTCCACATCCAAAAAGCTTTCATTCTAAACCGCATGACAGGGCTGGTGATTATGTTAGCAATTATCTTTTAGTTGAAGGTCTGGAGAAGAGTTAAAGTTGGTCATACATGGATCAAAATTTAGCCGGTAAAATTTTGACCCATTTTCCTTGCAGGCTGGTTTTACAGAAGCCGTTCTACCGATTGACTTCTGTACAACCAGCCTGTTGTGTTTTTCCCGATTGTTTAGCAGGGGTGTCAAACTTGCTGCCCTCCAGCTGTTGCGAAACTACAAGTCCCATCATGCCTCTGCCTTTCAGAGTCATGCTTTTAGCTGTCAATCTTGCAATGCCTCATGGGACTTATAGTTTGGCAACAGCTGGAGGGCCGCCAGTTTGACTCCCGTGGATTAGTGCCTCCAAATATAGTCGAGAGCCCTAATCAATGTATTCTGAGGGCTGAGAGATATCCCGCCATCAGAACACAATAGCACAGCAGGAGTATTTCCACAATCCACAACGAATGTGTGGATGGGGGAATCAAGTCGTATTCCTTTTATTTTTTTGACCCAATTGTTGCAAGTAATCTAGGCAGGACAAAGCTGTTATTACGTCTACAAAACTGTACAAAACTTTTTTCGGTAATGTAGTAATGCACATGGATGCAGAATTAGAGAAATTGTTTGTACTATAATGGAGCAAGTATGTACATCTGGTTTCTTATGTTTTCAGTCTTCTGCCTCTTTCAGTTTTCTTAAAAATAAACAAACATTTACTAGCTTTTTTTCAATTTGTTTGCACGTTTTCTTTTTTGCAGACGAATTGGAAAGGATCTTAGCAACACATTCAGTAAGCTGGAAAAACTGACAATATGTAAGTCTAAAAGAGTGTGTATTTATGTACAAAGAAATGGCAGCTTATTTTATAATATTTTATAATACATGTCATCCATGTATACAGTCAGGTCCATAAATATTGGGACATCGACACAATTCTAAAATTTTTGGCTCTATGCACCACCACAATGGATTTGAAATGAAATGAACACGATGTGCTTTAACTGCAGATTGTCAGCTTTAATTTGAGGGTATTCTCATCCAAATCAGGTGAACAATGTAGGAATTACAACAGTTTGCATATGTGCCTCCCACTTGTTAAGGGACCAAAAGTAATGGGACAATTGGCTTCTCAGCTGTTCCATGGCCAGGTGTGTGTTATTCCCTCATTATCCCAATTACAATGAGCAGATAAAAGGAGTTAATTTCAAGTGTGCTATTTGCATTTGGAATCTGTTGCTGTCAACTCTCAAGATGAGATCCAAAGAGCTGTCACTATCAGTGAAGCAAGCCATCATTAAGCTGAAAAAACAAATCAAACCCATCAGAGAGATAGACATTGTTTTGGCAAACTAAACTGTTTGGAACATTCTTAAAAAGAAGGAACGCACCGGTGAGCTCAGCAACACCAAAAGACCCGGAAGACCACGGAAAACAACTGTGGTGGAAGACCGAAGAATTCTTTCCCTGGGGAAGAAAACACCCTTCACAACAGTTGGCCAGATCAAGAACACTCTCCAGGAGGTAGGTGTATGTCTGTCAAAGTCAACAATCAAGAGAAGACTTCACCAGAGTGAATACAGAGGGTTCACCACAAGATGTAAACCATTGGTGAGCCTCAAAAACAGGAAGGCCAGATTACAGTTTGCCAAACGACATCTAAAAAAGCCTTCACAGTTCTGGAACAACATCCTATGGACAGATGAGACCGAGATCAACTTGTACCAGAGTGATGGGAAGAGAAGAATATGGAGAAGGAAAGGAACTGCTCATGATCCTAAGCATACCACCTCATCAGTGAAGCATGGTGGTGGTAGTGTCATGGCGTGGGCATGTATGGCTGCCAATGGAACTGGTTCTCTTGTATTTATTGATGATGTGACTGTTGAGAAAAGCAGCAGGATGAATTCTGAAGTGTTTCGGGCAATATTATTTGCTCATATTCAGCCAAATGCTTCAGAACTCATTGGACGCCGCTTCACAGTGCAGATGGACAATGACCCAAAGCATACTGCAAAAGCAACCAAAGAGTGTTTTAAGGAAAGAAGTGGAATGTTATGCAATGGCCAAGTCAATCACCTGACCTGAATCCGATTCAGCATGCATTTCACTTGCTGAAGACAAAACTGAAGGGAAAATGCCCCAAGAACAAGCAGGAACTGAAGACAGTTGCACTAGAGGCCTGGCAGAGCATCACTAGGGATGAAACCCAGCGTCTGGTGATGTCTATGCAATCCAGAATTCAGGCTATAATTGACTGCAAAGGATTTGCAACCAAGTATTAAAAAGTGAAAGTTTGATTTATGATTATTATTCTGTCCCATTACTTTTGGTCCCTTAACAAGTGGGAGGCACATATGCAAACTGTTGTAATTCCTACACCGTTCACCTGATTTGGATGTTAATACCCTCAAATTAAAGCTGCCAGTCTGCAGTTAAAGCACATCTTGTTAGTTTCATTTCAAATCCATTGGTGGTGTATACAGCCAAAAATGTTAGAATTGTGTCAATGTCCCAATATTTATGGACCTGACTGTATGTGGATGTTTTTACTGTTGAAAATGCTTGCTAATTAGAAATGCAGAGTATAGTTGAAAGGTATGGGTTGCATTACCTTACTGCCTAAGAAAAGGTAAAACTTAATCAAATGCTTGAAGTTGGCCACACGTGAAAACCATGTTACATAATTTGGGTAACTTAACACACATTTCTGATCATTTATTTATTTTACTTTTTGACTGCTCAAAATAATACATATCCAGACAGATGTGCTGTTATGTGGTCTGGCAACAACATATTTCTTGACACATTCAAAAATGACAATTGTGCCACACATTAGATATTGCCACATACACCAGAGTGAGAGCAATAATTCAACGCCATCATTCACTGTCAACTCTACATCAATGAATTGTAAAGGCTTTTAAAGAGCCTCTGATGTACAGATTTGGGGGACTTCGTTTTTCATCATTTTGCATGTACACTTTTTTGAGGCTTGACATTTGGTTTCTGTTTACTTGTCTTTTTCCCCAAAAAAATGGAAAAATCGTTTGTGTGATAATTTTGTTTCAATGCTGATAATATAGATTTAATAAACAGTAGTACATTTATCATGTGACAAAATGTAACTTCCACCATTTCATTCTTTAGTGCCTATGTTTTCAAAAAACATATAATACAGTGGGGGTTTTATATAATCTTCAGACCTAAAGTTTGCATTTTATGGTATACAATAAAAGGCTTCTGCAGCAAAAAGGTTTAGGAATGTGCACATACCATTTGATCATAAATATGTCTATTTTTGTGAACGACAAATGGTGCCAAATATATAGTTTTTGATCATTCTCTTATTTTCTCTAGTGGCTAAAAGGAAATCTCTGTTTGATGACAAAGCAGTGGAAATTGAGGAACTGACATACATTATTAAACAAGTAGGGATCTATAGATTATGCTGATTCCTTACATGTCTAAATTATATATTCTCTTCTAATCTGCACGTTTTCTTTCCTGTCATTTGTATATGTAGGACATTGGAAGCCTGAATCAACAGATTGCCCAGTTACAGTCCTTTGTAAGAGCACGAGGCAACCAGAATGGGCGACATGTTCAGACTCACTCAAATACTGTGGTGGTTTCTCTTCAGGTGAGGTGATCCCAAGCTTCTATCATGCCAGCAGTAATGCAACAGAAGCATGAGTGGCAAAAGTATTGTATTAACCACTTGAGCTCCTGAGGATTTACCCCCCTTAATGACCAGGCCTCTTTTTGCTGCTTGGCGCTGCACTAATTCAACTGATAATTGCGCGGTCATGCAATGCTGCACCCAAACAAAATTTATGTCCTTTTTTCACACAAATAGAGCTTTCTTTCGGTGGTATTTGATCATCTGTGCGCTTTTTATTTTTCACGCTATAAACAAAAAAAGGCCAAAAATTTTGAAGAAAAACAATATTTTTTTATTTTCAGCTATAAAAAATATATAGTAAACTCAAAGTTGGTTATAAATTTAGGCCAAAATGTATTCTGCTACATGTTTTTGGTAAAAAAAATCCCAATAAGTGTATATTGATTGCTTTTTGTGGAAGTTATAGCGTCTACAAACTATGGTATAAATACTGCAATTTACTCCATTTTTCTGCTATACAGCGCTGCGCTAGTTTAACGGACAATTGCGCGGTCATGCAATACGGTACATAAATGAAATTTACATCCTTTTTTTTTCCCCACAAATTGAGCTTTCTTTCGGTGGTATTTGATCGCCTGTGCGGTTTTTATTTTTTGCACTATAAAAAAAAAAAAAGGCTGACAATTTTGAGGAAAAAAAAACAATATTTTGGACTTTATGCTATAAAACATGTCCAGTAAAAAAAAAAAATGCAAAAATCAATTTTAGTCATAAATTTCTGCCAAAATGTATTCTGCAACATGTCTTTGCTAAAAAAAAAAAAAACCCAATACGTGTAAATTAATTGGTTTACATGAAAGTTATAGCGTTTACAAATGGCGGGAAAGATACTGGGATTTTTAGGGTTTTTTTTTTATACTGATAATGGCGGCGATCAGCGAATTATGGCGGCGATCAGGGACTTATGGCGACCAGCGACTTATGGCGGGACTGCGGCGGACATTTTGACATTGGGGGGTACTGACTTGGGGTCACTGACATCCCCAAAAACACTAATACAGTGATCAGTGCAAAAAAAAAAAAAACTGACACTGTACTAATGGCATTGGGGAGGAAGGGGTTAACTTTAGCAGGGAAGGGTTATAGGAGTGAGGGGAGTGTTTTACTAGGGGGCGGGGGTATGTGCTGGGCGGGACAAGGCTGATCGAGAAAGAAAACTGTTCTTTCTCGATCAGCTCATCCTCGAGCTGTCAGGGAAGTGACAGACAGCACAGCTACTACAGCTGTGCTCTCTGTCACTGTTTGCCGCCGATCGCCGGGACATAGCCGCTAAGGAGCGGCTGTGACCCAGCGACTGACATCTGCGGCAGAGAACCGCGGGACAAATAGGGCGGCGGCGCGCCTCGCGCGCGCCCCCTATTTGTTTACAAAACACACGTCTGAAAACGTGGTTTTGCCTGTGAGTGCCGCCCTGCCGCCGTATATGTACAGTGGCTGGGCGGCATGCGGTTAAATGAGTGTGATGCTGAAACAAAAGTAAATGCCAGATTCTAAACATCTCTACTACAGCAGACGGTCCATGAAACGTAAATATTCAGTGCAGTCAGGCTTCATTAACAAAGAGTATGTGAGATGATGCAGTGGTTTTTAGGTGAAGACTGATGAGACGGGATTCTTCCAAAATGTCACACTGTCATATTTTTCTTGCTGCATTTGGTATCTGTTTGTGTGCCAGTGCTGCTTCCTGTAGAAGAGGATATCTGAGAATTAATCTACACTTCAGCTTGGAATGATTGACAATGACCCCCTTGGCATCTTAAAACTTTTTTGCCATCTGGTTACAGATAATTCAACTTTGATTTATTAATAATTGGAGGTTACTGGCAACTTCAGCCCTCTCATTGATTGCATCCAAAAGGATGCTTGTTTGCATTGCTGTGTATGAGAGTTATTGGTTACCCTTAACCACTTGCCGTCCGCCTGCTGTTTATAAACGGCCGGACAGTGGCACTCCAGGGGCGGGTTGCCGTTCATAAACGGCACCCGCCATTTCTAGCTGTGCGTGCTCCCTGGGAGCGCACAACACCGCGATCCGGTGTCCGCTGTGTCCTCCAGACACAGTGAAACACCGATCGTCGGACGGGACCTCTGTACGAGGTCCCGATCATGTGATCGCTGATTGTTCAATCAGTGATCACATGCAAAGTAGTAAGCAAGATGTCACTTGTGACATCATTGCTTACTACGTGTGAAATCTGTGAATGATCACACAGGTCACATGGTACAATGCTATTCACAACAGCCTTGTACCATGTGACAAGCTGTGACCAATCACAGCTCACTCAGTAGTTCTCAATGGCTGCAAGAATGCAGACAGAGAGAATGAGAAATGATTGCTTTTACATCCTATCAGTGTAAGAAAGAAAAAAAAAAAAATCTTCATCACCTCCCACAAGTAGTACAGTGTCACCATGGTGACACTGTACTGCTAGGGTGACAGTATGTAAATAAATAAATAAAATAAAAAAAAAAAAATGTAAAAAAAAATTTTTAAAAATTAAAATTTTGGTTATAAACTAATTTGGCTTATTTTTTTTTTTTTTTTACTAAAAAGATAACGGAATACATTTTGTCCAAGATTTATGATGAACGATTATTTCTTTGCAAAATTTTATAAGAAAAAAACACTTTTTTTCAAAATGTTTGGACGTTTTCATTTACATAGCAAAAAAAATAAAAATCCCAGCGGTGAATAAATATCACCAAAATAAAGCTTTATCTGTCCCAAAAAAATGGTAAAAAATTAATATGGGTACAGTGTTTTATGACCGCGCAATTGTCATTCAAAGTGTGATAGCGCTGAAAGCTGAAAATTGCCCTGGTCAGGAAGGGGGTAAAAGTGTCCGGACTGGAAGTGGTTAAAGGATAGGTTCACATTTAAAAAAAAAAATGTTTTTGTAGGAAAAAATATGTTCCTTTATTTTTACAGGAGCCTACAAAGCATTGCACCTGCATTTGAATACAGCTGCACCAAATTTAAATGTGATAGCGACGGCAGGGGAGAGGAACCCTTGCAGGCTGTCACAAGGGGAATGGGGGTGCTTTAGAACAGGTTACATGTTACACCCTAAATGTAGGTGTAATATGTTCCTAAAGGTGAACTTATTCTTTTAAACAACTATATTTAAGTGCTCACCATTTGGAATGTGATTAAAACCAACTCTTTTTTTGATTCTGATAAATCTATATTGGGTTGGTCTTGGGGAAAAATGTGGACACAGAGAGCATTAGTTATGAGCATGCAGGACAAACAGCCGGTACAAAAAGAGTCATGTTCAATTGTGTTCTTGAAATGGGCTGCCTTAATACACCGTATAGATGTAAATGGGGCATTAAAGTTTAAATTCTACTTTCATGGTAAGGGCCATAAATCACTCTTTAACATATTGGGTAGTGTGGACAAAATAGTGAAAAGTGGGGAAAAACGTGAATGCATGCAAGTGAAAATGCTTCATCTCCAGGCTGCTGCAGGTACAAGTACATGAATGAGATGTTTTGTGACTCCTCTCATTCATGTTGATGACGCCACATGGCTCCTACAGCAGCCTGAACCTGGAAGTGTGGGAAGCATTGTAGACCTGCGGACACGAAACTCTGTCCGTTTTTCCCCACATTGTGAGTGATGGAACTTCACAACTGTAGCCAACATATGTACTGTTGGCACAACACAGATCACACATGGACCACATTTTATGTCTTTTATTAATCACTGTGACAGCATTATATGGGTAAAAAATCTTTCTAACCATTTTCTTTAGCCATGTTCTTGTGTTCCGAAGGTAATTCCTTTGTTTTTGTCTTTCTAGTCAAAGCTGGCATCAATGTCTAATGACTTCAAGTCTGTATTAGAAGTAAGGACAGAGGTGAGTTATGGAAATTTTAGTTTCACCAAATTAGAAAAAAAGTTTGCCATATTATGGAGCAGCTATCTGATTGTTTTGGTTCTGCATTATTGGCCCTTCTCTTGTCATGCATATCCACTATTGGATCCACTATGTAAGGTTATCTCCTCATCACTGTCTTCGGCACTCTGAGTAACAATGAGGTCAATGTTCTCTTTCTCAGCAAAGAAATATAGATTTAACTTTACAACTTATAGGGTCCCTTGCAGTAACCAGAGGCTGACCAACACAATCGTTTGCACTGAAAATCACTTCCACTCAATCACACAATAGTTTAAACGTGTAGTTTTGACTCCTGGTTGGCCCCCACAGCTTCTTCTTTGAAATTCCAACTTTTAAACCTTTGTTTTTCTCTTTAGAATCTAAAGCATCAGCGAAGTCGCAGGGAGCAGTTTTCTCAGAATCAGGTCTCTGCTCTACCCCTCCATCACAACAGCATGGGTATGTGTGCCATAGTGTATTTAATTTTGTCTTTACCACCCCCCATTGACTTCTCTATCACATCGAACAACGCTACCATCAAACCCGCCCCGCAGGCCAGAGTACTTGGTGTCATTCTGGACTCCAACCTATCCTTCCAGCCCCAAGTCCAATCTTTAACAAACTCGTGCAGACTCCACCTCCGCAACATCGCCAAAATCCACACGTTCCTAACTCCAGAAACCACTAAACGGCTCATCCACTCCCTCATCATATCACGACTCGATTACTGCAACTCCCTCCTCACTGGCCTGCCTCGCCGCTGGGTATCCCTGCTTCAGTCGATCCTGAATACGGCTGCCAGACTCATTCACCTTTCCAACCGCTCCGTCTCCGCCACCCCCCTCTGCCAATCTCTCCACTGGCTTTCGATTGCACAACGGATCAAATTCAAAATCCTAATGCTGACGTACAAAGCTGTCCACCATACTGCCCCGAACTACATCACTGACCTAATATCCAAGTACCGCCCAGCACGCACACTCCGCTCCTCACAAGACCTCCTTCTCTCTAGTTCCCTGTTCTCCTCCTCCCATGCCCGCCTCCAGGACTTCTCCAGGGTGTCACCCATCCTCTGGAACTCCCTGCCCCAACCCATCAGATTATCACCTACTCTCCTCTCCTTTAGGCACACCCTGAAAACCCACCTCTTCAGGGAAGCCTACCCCACCCCTGCTAACTTGCCGACCTCCTCCACTCTTCCTACCACTCCATCCCCCACAGCTATCTCCTCCTGTACCACTATCCCCTCCCTCCTAGATTGTAAGCTCGAAAGAGCAGGTCCCTTGATCCCCTCATGTATTGTATTGTTCTGTCACATGTTCTGTCCCCCTTTGTAATGTACAGCGCTGAGCGAACTATTGGCGCTTTATAAATACTGTGTAATAATAGACTAACACTTTAAGGGCCAGTTCATACTACACGCGTTTCAGTGCTTGCAGCACAGAACTGTACTGGAACATGGTAAAACGCACAGGACCGCATTGGATCGCACCAAAAATGCACTGGAATGCACATGTCCCTATTTAGATTGAAGAAAAAGAGAGGGTAATAAAACGCACTGGAATGCACCAAATACGCGCGCATGCAAAAATGCATCTAGACTGAGTTTATAGTGTGAACTGGCCCTTAGGGTTCTTCAATACATAAAAATAAGCATGCTGTGCTTCTAGATTTTACTACAGTAAATTGGTCTGTTGCTATATGTTACGACTCGTCATGTAGTACATTTTTTGGAAAGTCCATAAAGCATGTTGTTCATTTTTCAAAGTAAACAGCAGCACTATTTTTTTTATCCCTCCTTGTCTATATTCTTATAATTTAGCTCCGTTTTGCATCCCTAACTATTGCTTGTATTTTACTGCAGGTCCCTCTGTCCTCCTACAAGATGACTCTCGCAGACATGGGGATGTGACAATAGACATGGATTCAAAAGTCAGTCAACAATTGCAGTTAATAGATGAGCAGGTAAGAGGAACTGATATTGTTTTAAGAGGAATAAATGGACTATTGTGGACTAGAGCATCCATAAACTTCACAAATACATTTTTTCAATCCTTTCTTCAGGATTCCTATATTCAGAGTCGAGCAGACACTATGCAGAACATAGAGTCCACCATTGTCGAACTGGGTTCAATCTTCCAACAGCTGGCTCACATGGTAAAGGAGCAGGAAGAAACTATACAAAGGTGAGTAACTGAAGTCTTTATCCATGTGACTGCATACCCTTTAAATTACTCCTTCTGTTCTCTGTCTAGGTATATGTTGTCTTTAAAGGGTAGCTTCACTTTCATGAAAAAAAAAATGGCAAATAAAAAACAATAGTATGTACAATTGCTACACAAGTCATATTGTAATTGAATGTTATTAAAAATGGCCTTTTCCTTTTCAATCTGCAGTGCTGTAATTTTCTGTAAACTGCAATGCAGTATGGCTACCTGGAGGTGTTCTGTACACAGATGGTGTACAGGACACCCTCCCTGAAATGTAATTTCCAGCTTGTGTGATTGGCTTACTGATTTTCCCAGAAGTCTGCGCTAAGATACAGGTCAGATTTTGGCCATCCCCTGCAACAAAATCTCATTTTTGGTGAGATACTCCCAAAGGGAAATCATGTCTAAATGGATGCAGACCCTGCCACTTTCCTCAAGTGCAGCAGCTGATTGATAATTATAAACTCACTCTCATTCACATTCACTTTGCACTTGGACACACACAAACTGCTATGTCAAACAAAAGGTAGGAATCTGCAACAAAGTTTGTTAAAATCCCTGCAATGTACAAAGATCACCCAGAGAGGAAAGTTTTTTTTCAACAAAAGTGGAGTTACTCTTTAAATCCATCTTTTATAGCGGTTACATATATTTGCTTTTGTTTTAACAGAATTGATGGGAATGTAGAGGACACGCAGCTGAATGTGGAAGCAGCCCACTCTGAAATCTTGAAATATTTTCAGTCCGTCACATCAAACCGCTGGCTCATGATCAAGATTTTTCTTATACTTATCGTTTTTTTCATCATATTTGTGGTCTTCCTGGCTTGAGGCAACCACCAGAAAAACAATACAATGGTCCGCACACACTCCATGCTACCTCCAGACAGCTCGGTCCTATGAAACCACAGGAAAATTTCAGTGCTGTCATTTTGTATGCATGTGGATCGTGGCTTTTGTGTGAGGGACATAAATTGTGTGTGTGGCACTTTTTTTTTTTTTTTTTTTTTTTTTTTTTTTTTAAGGGGCAGGCCTAGTATGGTACCAGCACTGCTGTATGGTGCCATAGAAAGGTTATCCTTGAAATATAAAGTGCACATATTTGATAGTATAATGGATGACTGTGTGTGTATGTATGTGTAAATAATATATATCTAACTATATATAGTTTTAGGCCTTGTAAATATATATGCCTGCACACACAGTCATAAGTGGATTAGGAAGTGAAATTGGTGTATGAGTGTTTGTAAATTGCTTATGAATGGCTGAACGGTTGACACATGTATACAAATGCTATGTTATTTGCCAATGTATGTGAAGTGAATGAGTGAGAATGATGTGACTATGACTGGATGAAAGTTGAGTTGACATTTCTAAGGTGTCTTACGGAACTCCTAAAATGACCCAAGGCATGTGAAAGGATCAGCCAGCCTCCTTTTCCACCATATACAGACGTCTCTTTCTTATTTTAATCTTTTGTAGACTGTTTTGCTTTTAAATTATTAATTATTCCTTAGCATTAAACAAAGTTGCTACTACGCAGGTGTAAATTTGCCCTCTCTCAAAGGGGAAGGTCCCGTGTAGATGGATTAAATGACCCAGGAGAGGCGGTTTATATTTTTAACACATTCCAGAACTCAACCTTGGAGGACTGTAACCCCTCTCTTCCCAAATGCCTTAGGATAAAGACTGTGACCTTCATATGATGTACACATTGTATATAATACAGATGACGGAATAATACACATTTCAGTTGAACTGCTTGTGTTTGTCTTGTTTATTTGCACGGATGAAGGTAAAAAAATAAGTGCACCTGGTGAAAAGAATCGTGTAGAATAGGTAACGTATAGAAAAAAAACAGATGGGATGAGCTGGGGGGAACGGGGCAGAATGCCTTGGAGCTTTGCCAATGAGCCAGATTCCACCAATTCGGAATCGTCAGAGGAGTTCGGAGATCAATTTTGGGCAGTCAACGTTTGCAGGCAGAGAGTACATGACCCATGAGTCACAGATCTTCTTGAATGTGGTCATTGTGTCCATGAACCTTGATGTTGTTTTTTTTAAGGTGGTCCAATGAAGTCTTCTCTATGATTTTCAGACCAGATGAATGTACTGGATAGCCATGCTTTCATTTTGCCTTGTTTTGTGGCCATTAAGATATGTGTGATGAGATCAAATTCATATTGTGAGACCTACAGGATTTGAGAAGAGCTATGCACAGATTCATAGTATGAAAGCTTGCAAACAGTATGCAAATCATGTCTTAGGCTTTCGTCCACAGGTCTTGTGCTATTGGGGAAGTCCACCAGGTGTGTCAGGCAAAACATTTTTAACTGCTGATGATCTAAGTAAAGCTCTTACAAGGAAAAAATATTAAACATTTTTAGTTCAGTTTATTAACCCATGTGTTATAGCTTAGTGAATTTAGATCTATCTAAGTATGGTTTACTCTCAATATTTGAAAGCCCAACTTAGAGTTTAAATCAGTTTAGGCGCTTCAAAACAAAAGGTGCTCAATATCTTATTCACACAGGTAGCGTGTTAGGACTACATAACACTTCCCTCTGTGCTCCATACCAAGGGAAGGTGTTTTGTAATTCATGGAGATATCATAGAACAGTGCAAACTGATAACTTCCTCATACTCTCTGCCTCTTCATTATCAACTCTGGCTGGATAAACATTTTTTTTCTTTTTTAGCACAGATATATTAATAACACTTTCAATTCTATACTTAACAGCCCATAAGGGAGCAAATTAGAGAAATGTATTGTTAGATTTTACATACAGTTGTGTCCAAAATTATTCAACCCCCACTGAAATTGAGTGTTTTGGCCAGTTTGACATTGCTTTTGATCATTCAGTCATCTTGCTTACATTTACATTAAAGAGGCACTTGTAGGTCAGACAAATATAACATAACAGTTATAATGAAATAACCACAAATGTCTTTTCTGTGCTCACAGCATTATCAGTTTTATTCAACCCCAAGTGACATTCAATCTTAGTACTTAGTACAGCATCCTTTTACAGTTATAACAGCTTTTAAAACGTGAAGCATAGCTTGACACAAGTGTCTTGCAGCGATCTACGGGTATCTTCGCCCATTCTTCATGGGCAAAGGCCTCCAGTTCAGTCACATTCTTAGGCTTGCGCACTGCAACTGCTTTCTTTTAAGTCCCACCAGAGGTTCTCAATCGGATTTAAGTCTGGTGACTGCGATGGCCACTCCAAAATGTTCCAGCCTTTCCTCTGCAACCATGCTCTAGTGGACTTGGAGGTATGCTTGGGATCATTGTCCTGTTGAAAGGTCCAACGTCTCCCAAGCCTCAGGTGTGTGACGGACTGCATCACGTTTCCATCCAATATCTCCTGGTACTGAAGAGAATTCATGGTACCTTGCACACGCTGAAGCTTCCCTGTACCTGCAGAAGCAAAAACCCCAAAGCATGATTGACCCTCCACCATGCTTCACAGTAGGCAAGGTGTTCTTTTCATCATAGGCCTTGTTCTTCCTCCTCCAAACATAGCGTTGATCCATGGGCCCAAACAGTTCTAATTTTTGTTTCATCAGTCCACAGAACACTATCCCACAACTTTTGTGGTTTTGTCCACATGGCTTTTGGCATACTGCAGTCGACTCTTCTTATTCTTTGGAGACAGCAAGGGGGTACGCCTGGGAGTTCTGGCACGGAGGCCTTCATTACGCAGTGTGCGTCTTATTGTCTGGGCTGAAACTTCTGTACCCACATCTGACAAATCTTTTCTCAGTTCCTCAGCAGTCACACGGGGACTTCTCTCCACTCTACGCTTCAGGTAGCGCACAGCAGTCGAAGTCAGCATCTTCTTTCTGCCACGACCAGGTAGCGTTTCAACAGTGCCCTTTGCCTTGAATTTGCGAAATGATGCTTCCAAAGGTGTCTCTTGGTATGTTTAAACATCTTTGCAATCTTCTTATAGCCATTGCCCTTCCTGTGAAGAGAAATCACCTCTTCTCTTGTCTTCCTGGACCATTCTCTTGCCTTCACCATGTTTGTAACCACACCAGTAAATGTCTAGAAGGAGCTGAGTATCACAGTCATTTTAAAGCTGCCTAATTGGTGCTTATTATGCTTGATTGCTGCTCGGTGACATCCACAGGTGTTTTCAATACCTGATGGAAAGCACCTGTATGAACCTCTGTTCTTCAGAGTGGTAGTCTTTAAGGGGTTGAATAATTGTGGCAATGAAGAAACCACATAAGAACCATTTACTACTGTATTACATAAACAATTGATGTCATTTTAGTTGCATTTGGGTAGTTACAACGTCCTTGTAGGATTTGATTCTGAATACAATTCCAAATGTACACTATAGTCCCTAAACCCCTTTACAGCATTTGGACACAACTGTACACTAATTGTCTTTGATGAAAGCATTTGTTCCACGTATACCCACATGCCTTTGGAATATCATAGAGGAAAACAAAGAAAGTGTGAAAAGGTAAATTGTTTATTGTACAAAGATATTCTAAAATGGCCTGGACAGGTGTCTTGGTACCCCCAGAAAAGATTGAAATATCAATATGGCCCAGTTATTTATAAACTGTTTTCTATAAATAGTATTGCATATGTCTTCAAGTGGTCCATTGAGTCTGTCCCATTTTTTTTTTCTTTATTTTTAATTTATACATTTTTTTTTTTTAACTTTTATATCTGAGTATAGATCTATGTTTTTCCCGAGCATGTTTGAAGCCATTAAGTGTTGATTGTCTCACTATCTCTACTGGAAGTCTATTCCAAGCATCAACTACCCTCTTGGTAAAATATTTTCTAAGATTAGTTTTGAATTTTCCACCTGCTAGTTTGATGTCATGTCCCCATGTTCTTGATTTTGTCTTCATTTTGAAAATGTATTTAAAGGTTTCAGTCATGATCATGTCCTGTCTCTCCTGATGTTTTATCCCTCCTTTTTTTTTTTTGTTACCTGTCTATGGACTCATTCTATCTTTATCAATATTATTTTGTAAGCGATGTATCCAGAACTGGACACAGAATTCTAAATAAACCCCTCTAGTGATGCATCCTAGAATTCTATTCTCTTTTCCCATTTGTCTGGGCACACTGTTCGTTTTGCAATCATCTGCAATAGGTACACCGAAATCTTTTTTTTTTTTTTTTTGCTGCAGCCCTGGCCAACACTTTACCCCAATATTGTATTGGGATTCTTTTTCCATAGCTGCATTATTTTCCATTTATAAATGCAGTGTCCACTGATTTTTTGATTTACAATGCCAAAAATCACATTTCATGTTACTAGCATCTCCAGGAATATCAACCCTATTATACACCTTTTGTGCCATTACGTTAGCAATGTAGTAAAAAATATTCAATCTGATTTATAGTCTGACATGATTTGCCCTCAGTAAAGCCATGCTGCTTTTGGGTCCAGCAAATTGTGTTTTTTTTTTTTTTAAGTGACTGTAAATCTTTATTTATTTTTTAAAATAACAAACATAACATACTTACCTGCTCTGTACATTGGTTTTGCACAGAGCATCCCCAATCCTCCTCTTCTCAGGTCCCCCACTGGCTTTATACATTTCTCTATCTATACCTCCTGTTTCCCAAATCTCCTATATGCTGATTTATTTTATTTTTTTTACCTTTTTAGTGAACCATATTGGTTTTTCTCCCATTTGCTTTTACTAATTTGCCTGACTTATTCTCTAGTTGCCTCTTAGATGGTATTCTTTGACAATGCCCACTGATTACCAACTCATGTTGTTTTACTCCAACCTTTTTTAATTCATTTTTTTTGTTTTGTTTTTTTGTTTTTTTTTTAGAAATTCCC